AGCCCTCGTCCTTCTCGCCCGCCATTGCGTCAACTGTTTATCTCCCTCCGCTCCCCCACCTTTCATTCGCGCGGCCTGCCCACAGACAACCTGCGGCCGTATTTCATGGTGGCGCAACTCAGACACCTCATATTCCCTCCCCGCTCCCACTCCCTCCTCCCCCCGTCCCTCCGCCTCCCTCTCCCTCCCTCTCCCTCCCACCTCGTTCTTGCACCCCCTGTTTCAGGCGCGCGGCCTGCCCACAGACAACCTGCGGCCGTACTTCATGGCGGCAAACGTTGGCGTCTACGTGCTGCAGGTGAGGGTTCTGAGGAGTGAGGTGCGGTTCAGATGGGTACTGTGAGGCGACGTAGCGTCACGTTCTAACGGCCGTATTGCCGTACATCGATCTCCTGCCTCCCTGGTCGTTCCTTGTGTCGACCTTGTTCTTTCCTCCCCTTTACCTTCTGGGCGGCCATATGGACGTCATGTGATTCGACCTCTAGGAACATTCTCACTCTCGACCTCCCTCTGTCACCGCCTCCGTATTCTCACTGTCGCCCTTAGCACCGTTCTCTCACCTCCCAATTCTCCGCTCCTCTCTTTTCTCCCGTCTCCTCTTCAGGCGGCCATCTCTGGGGAGTCATGTGGTTCAATCACAAGGACATGCTCACAATCGACCTCATTGCCTCTGTATTCTCTGTCACTCTTTGCACCCTCTTCCCCTCACCTCCCACTCCTCTCGCTCTATTCACCCCTCTACAGGCGGCCATCTGGGGCGTTATGTGGTTCGACCACAAGGACATGCTCACAATCGACCTCATCGCCAAGCTCTTCTTCACTGGTCAGTACCACCCATCCACCCTCTCTCATGTTTTGAGTCCGCTCAAAACATGACTCACTGGTTAGTACCACCCATCCTCTCTCTCTCATCGCCTCGCCTCAACCTGTTTCGAGTCGACTGAAAACACACAACGACATGCTCCCAGTCGACCTAATCGCCAAGTTCTTCTTCACTGGTCATTGTGCACTCCTCTTCCATCGGCTCCTCAATACAGACGTCGACCTCTCTGCTGGAATTGTCTTCTACTATTCTGGTTCATGCATTGCGTTCCTCTTAGCTCCATGTCGCCCCCGCCCTTTTCCATGCCCCTACATCAACCCACCTCCCTTCCCCCAGACAACCGGCCCCCACCCCCATCTCTCCCTTCCGCTCTCCCTCCTCTCCCCCTTCACCCTCCACTCCTCTCCCCCAGTCGTACCCATTTCCACCGCCCTATGCCCTTCCCCTTTTCAAATTCTTTACCTTGTTCTTTCACCCCGCCCCGCCCTCGCCTCCCATTGCAGCTGTCTCGCTAGCAGCAGCAGCAGGCTTTCTGCTGTATGGTGGCAGGTACGTTGGTGTGAGGTGTGAGGGGGAGCAGCGAGCTGGACCTTGTTCCTCCTCTCTCCCCTCCTCCCCTCCCCTTCCACATCCCTTCCCTACCATCCTTTCCCTCTCTGTACCTTGTAGTCTCACCTCCGCTGTGCACTTTGGTTTGTGAAGCGCCTCATTGGGACGCCTTTGAAATAGTTCCTCCTTTCGAGGCGCCTCAAAAGTCAGCTTTTGAGGCGTCTCAAAAGTCACCTCCGCTGTGCACTTTGGTTTGTGAAGCGTTTCATTGGGCCGCCTTTGAAATAGTTCCTCCTTTCCAGATTGCACTGTCACCTCTGCGGCATTGCACCTTGCCACACCTCCCCTCATTGCCCACTCGCCTTTCCTCCGTTGCTCCCTCACTCCTCCCACCCCGCTTCCCCTCTCACCCTCAGGCACTTGCTTATGCTACAACAGTTCCCCATTAAGTCCGTCCCCTGCCCCCTCCCCCACCTTCCCGCTTCCCTCCTCTCCCGTCCCCCTCGTTTCCCCTCCCGCTCTTTTCTCCTCCTATCAGGCTCTTCCTCATGCTGCGGCAGTTCCCCATTGAGTCAAGGGGTCGCAGAAAGAAGCTTCACGAGGTGAGTGATTTCTTGTTGCATGAGGTTTTGGGATCACCTTATTTCTGGTTTTTTTTTTTTTTTTTTTTTTTTTTTCTTTTTTTCCCACGTCTACGATTTATTATCATGTGCTTGCTTCAATTGCTTTAGTGGGATTATCAGCTCTCCCCTCCCATTCACAGGCCATTCGCGTGTGCCCCTCTGTGCTTCCCTGTGTGTGTTACCCTATGTTACCCTGTATTCGCCTATGTTCGCCTGTGTTCGCCTGCAGGTTGGCTTCGTGACTCTCATCTGCTTCTCCTGCTTCATCGTTCGAGCCGCCGTGGTGAGTGCTGCTGCACCCGAGGTGTGCCACACCACATGAAGAATTTGAGCTGCGCTCCATGGATTGTGGGGCAATTATGGGGACAGCATGTGGGGCAGCATGGGGGCAGCATGGGGCAGCATGGGGGCCGCATGGGGGCAGCATGGGGGCAGCATGTGGGGCAGCATGGGGGCCGCATGGGGGCCGCATTGGGGGCGCATCAGGGCAGCACGCAATGCATCACGAGTCCTGCTGCTGCTGCTGCTGCCGTTGCTGTTGCATCATATGCTGCATACCTGTTTCCCCGTGCCTCCCCCTCCACCACCTGCTTTATCGACTCAGATCGCATTTTCAGCTCTTGTTAACACAGCTTGGCTGGATGTCGATGAAAACCCCTGGGTGGGTCAACGTTTCTTACTACAAAAGCATCCCCCCTCCCCCGTATTTCCCCATTGCCTCCCCCTTCACTCCTCCTTTTCCCCTGCTCTCTTTCCCTGCTCTCTTTCCCCGCCCTCTTTCCCCACTCTCTTTCCCCGCCCTCTTTCCCCTGCCATCTTCCCCTCCCCTGCCCTCTTCCCCCTTGTGTGTATCCACTCACGCAGATCGCCTGTCCAGCCCGCATGAGTACGGAATGGCTGGGCGTGGTGGAGGGCCCCTGGGTGGGCCACATTGCCTGTTGTTACATCCCCCCCTATTTCTCCCTCCCTCTCTGTGTCAATTCAGATTGCCTATTCAGCCCTCATGAGTACAGCGTGGTTGGTCGTGGTGGAGGGCCCCTGGGTCAACGTTGCCGACTTGTCCAACATTTCCCCTTCCGTCCCTCTTCACTCCCCCTCTTTCCGCACTCTCATCCTGCGCCCTACCCCCCTTTTCTGATGCATCAACGCAGATCGCCTATTCAGCGGTTGTGAGCGGCATGGCTGAGCGTGGTGGAGGACCCCTGGCTCAGCGTCTCCCTCTTCTCTAACTTCCTCCCGCCTGCTTTCCCACCCTTTCATCCCTTTTATTATTCAGATCGCTTATTCAGCCATTGTGAGCACGGCATGGCTGGACGTGGTGGCAGACCCATGGGTCAACGTCGCCTACTATGCCGTAAGCGCCACCCCCTTCCCCTGCGCCCACATGCCCCTGCACCGCACCCACATGCCTGTTGTTTCACGATCCTCCCCAAATTGGCTGGACGTGGTGGCAGACCCATGGGTCAATGTCGCCTACTATGCTGTAAGTTCCCATGCCCCTGCACCCATGTTGCTCGTGACCCCAATATAGACCCCTGGGTCAACGTTGCCTACTATGCTTTAAGCCGCCATGCACCCACATGCCCATGCACCCACATGCCCATGCACCCACATGCCCCAGTACCCAGGCCCGTTCTCCCTCTTCACCTCCTATCACTGCTCCCCTTCTACCTGGCCAGTGCACGGAGCTCATCCCAGCAAGCAGCCCTGGTGCTCTACATTCTCCACAAGCTGCCTCTAAATGCGTCTCCTTCCACTTGATAACTTCTCTCTCTCCCCTTGCCCAGTGTGTGCACCTCATCCCAGCAAGCAGCCCTGGTGCTCTACATTCTCCTCAAGCTGCCTCCAACCCCCTAATTAAATCTTTCTACTATCCCAATCCTCTTCCTCCTCTCTCCCCACCCTGCATCTCCCTCCTTCCTCTCTCTACTTCCTTTCACTGCTCCCCTTCCCCCAGGTCAGTGCACGGAGCTCATCCCAGCAGCGCTGGTGCTCTACATCCTCTGCAAGCTGCCTCTAGATGCGTCTTCTTTCACCTGATAACTTCTCTCTCGCCCCTCCCTCCCCACCTTCCCAGTGTGTGGAGCTCATCCCAGCAGCGCTGGTGCTCTACATTCTGCGCAAACTGCTTCGCTTCCACCTGACGTTTTGCCCACATCGCTCCCCTCTTCTCCCTGTTCCCCCTCCCTCCCCACCTTCCCAGTGTGTGGAGCTCATCCCAGCCGCCCTGGTGCTCTACATTCTGCGCAAGCTGCCTCCGAAGCGCAATGCCAACACCCAGGCCCTGCGCTAAGCGTTCGGACAGCGCTTGCATTCACATGGTACACTCATTCAGTGGGGCAATACAGTGCTGTGCTGCAATTGAGAAATATAGTGCATTAACTGTGCAGTGATACAGTGCATTGACATAGTGTGGTGTTACAATGTGTGTGCGCGCGCGAATACAGATGGTGCAGATGTGAGAACATGTAGCGCTGAGCGCACTTAAGAACAACAAAGTTAGTGGTACCGGTATAAGTGGAGCAGCGATGTTCCATCGATGTGCTTACACTGCAGGTCTGGCAGTGCTAGTCAGTTTCACTACCAAGCTGTCATGGTTGATGGCCCTCTTTGCTTCTGCCACACTGGCAATGGCAGTCAAGTATCGCTAGGCTTGCTCTGAATTGGATGGGTGTAGAGGGGGTTTGTGTTGTGAGTGTTTATGGATTCTTTGTGTATTTGTTATTTCTACACTACAGCTTCTCTTCTGAATGTAATCCAACTGAATGAGAGTACATACAATACGGTAGTGGAGACTACTGGCACATGTATGAACATGTGCAATAATAACCTGTCATTCATTGCATCAGCTAGTGGTATAAAAGAAGAACAATCGGGGAAAGATTCTTAGTAATGAAAGGAACAAGGCTTGGGCTGAATACCTTATGAGAGGACCCCCCCGAGCCCCCACCTCCCCCCTTCCTTGCAACACCCCAACATTTTTGTCCACCTTTTGACCCTTCTTCTTACTCATCCTCGTCATCATCATCAGAACCATAGGTTGAAAACAAGTTGGTTAATGCAGCTTTCCCCTTCTCCTCGTCATCTCGCTGCAAGCCACCAGCACTGGAACCCCCTGAACCATCAGCATTGCCTCCAGCAATTTCAGCTCCTGAATTTCCTCTAGAATCCCTGCTCGCCAATGGCACTTTCCCTGCATCTTTGCTTGGCACTGTTGCCTTGTCTGGCACCTTGCTCTTTGCCTTCACCATAAACGCCACCCTCACAGGCTTGGCTTCGAAGGCCGGCCGAGGGTCCTCCTGAACAAATCTGCTCCGTCGATTTTCAAAGGCTGAACTTGCTGCTGCTCCTGCTCCTCCTGCTCCTCCTGCTGCTCCTGCTGCTCCTGCTGCTCCTGCTGCTCCTGCTGCTGCTGCAACTGACCCGCTTGCATTGAGTGTGGCTGGCGGTGCTGCTTCATCTTGAGTTGATGACGCCGCCATAACCCCTTCCGCAAAACCAGATGGTTCTCTTGAGCTCATGGCTTTACCATTAGCACCCATAACATCACCACCTGCTTCAGCTTCGCCTCCGTTGGTGGCAATACGAGTCCTTTTAACCCCTCCATGCTGATCCTTGTTACTGGCTTCAGCTCCCTCGCCTTCTCCCCCCTCATCCTCCTCGTCACTGTCTATCCTCTTTACAAACTTCTCCGATTTTCTAAACACGATCTTCTTTATCAGCTCCTCGTCTTCTTCCGTTAACTGTTTCGGATCCGCTAACACCCCTCCTCCGCTCCCACCAGCTCCGCCGGCCGATCTCTGAAGCACCTCCAGAACCGCTGCTGGATCGAGGGTTGCTTGTCGCGCACGCATGGATTTCATTTCGTCCAAGGCTGCGAGAATGTCCATTTCCATCTTGGAGTCGAGGGTTCGATTCTCGAGAGCGCGCATGGCGTCGCCCATTTCTTCCTCCTCGCGCTGCCGCTTCGCGGTCGCCTTCTGCTCGTCCGACGCTCGCCATGGCTCGAAATTTCTGGACGCTCCCGATTCCATCTCGTAGTCGCTATTCTTCGGATCCGTCTTCATGACCATCTCAGCGGAACACTTAGTACACTTGAAATAGAAGCGGAATTTCAAAAGACCGAGGTAAGTATCCCCCACGACGTCCTCTTTTCGGCAGTTGAATTTCGTTCCCTTGTACATGTACGTCCCGCAGGTGTTGCATCGGATGCTCATAGGAAGCATCATGCGCACTTTCATCTGCTCATTCTTCAGCGGGATGCGCTTCGGAATCTTCGACGGATCGAAGTCCGGCGGGTAGTACTTGTTGAGAACCTTCCGCTCACCCATGGCTGCTGGCTTGAGGAACCGAAATTACTGGTGAAGAAGGATCAAGAAGCAGTGCAAGAGTATGCTTGAAGAAAAAAGGAGGCGATGCGGTGTGAAAGAAAAGAGAGTCCCTTCTGGGACAAGTCCTCCTTGGTATTAGAAGCTGAACAAACTCAATCTTCGAAATAAAATGGAAGTGGAAAAGAAGGGGGATTCTATTGGGGTGATTTACCCGATACAAATCAATCAAAGTTGCATGAGGGTTCCCCAGGGCAGCCCCATAACAGATTATTTGGGAGTTGCTATTGGCCGAATTCTTCCAAGTGCCCGCAACAAGTGCCTCATTCTTTGAAGTGTTCGTTCGCCGAACGAAAAGTTACTTGCAACATCTGTATCCCACCGTTTACACGGAGGGTCTACACCGTTTCCGGTCTGGAACGTGTATCTCTTCACGAGGATACACCACAGCAAGACTTCATATCCAGGGGACTCCATGTTGGAGATACTAGCCACTAGAGAAGGATAATTTAGCCATAATATTGTGTATTAACTTGTCGCTGGTTCTTCCGTCGTTACCGCTGTTGTTTCCCAATAGCTTCTTTTGATACTACAAATCCTAGGGTTCACACTAGAATGTGTGTTCTATGCAGACCTTCATCACGCACTAGCCTCGCGCTCTATAGCTTCTGACATTCCAAGCAGCTTGTGAGCTTAGTCAGCGTTGTATCTCAGCCATCTGTAGGTTTATTTTTCGCGACCTTGTCACCATGGCAAAGCGCATTCCTATGATCAAGTTCCCAATCCGGTCTCGAGGTGAGCGTCGTTTTCTTGCGCAGACAGCTTGTTTTCGCTATGTTCAACCTCATACTGCTTCCGCCATTTCGTCTTCACACCATTTCCCCGTTGCTTCCGTGCTGATTAGTATCCGTTTTTTCTTCAACGTATCCATTTCCTACCCGCAGTCTCAGCTCCAACACCAGCAGCTGCACAAACGTCCCAAAAACATACCCCTTCGCTTCAACAATTCACATCAGCACCAGCACCAGCACAAGCAGGAGCATCATCAAAACCGCAAAAGGCGGCCACGTCACACCAGTCTTCCGCTCCCGTTGCCAGCTCTTCGTCATCCTCTTCACAAGCAGCTCCGGTTATAGAATCCATAGCGGTTCCCGTCGCTGGTTTGAGTACCGTAGCAAAGAACAATTCTAAGAAGCCGGGGCCTCAAGCAGCAAGTTTGCAACCTCGACGGAAGCCTATGACAGATGAAGAAATTGACCTCATAATGGTGAGTCATCCTGTCCTTTCAGGTATGACATTTTTTAGTCAACTCAAAATCTCAACTCCAATGGAGGCCTATGACAGATGAAGAACTGACCTGATAATGGTAAGTCATCCTGTCCTTTCAGGTCAGATGTTGCAATAGATTTTAACCATTTGCATTTTTATTATTTGCAACCATTTCCCATTCTTTTGTCAAATCTGAATTCATTTTCTTCATGCAAATTTTCTAGTTACCACTCTCTGACTGACCTCGTCCCTCTGCCCCTCTCTCCCCTGCAAACGTGGTTTCATTCTGTTGTACCTGACAGAGTGGTGGAGCAGTTTTCTTTTAATGTTCTGAAATGTCCATACCTCATGGCTTTGAGGATTTGCACTGCAGATTTTTTATTTCCTTTGTGCCAGGAAAGCACTTCTTTGATAAAACTTGCAATGAACGCAACAGCACAGGATACATGAAAGCAGAGGACAATGGGTGGTTTATGGCACTAGACACAAAATCTCCTTGGCTGGATATCCTCAACAGCTGCTTGGCTCACTGATTCTCTGCTTTGGTTCTGCTGGTTATTCCTGCACATGCACTGCTGCCATGAACTACGGTACCTACTACCTTACTGTGTGCTGCTGCTGGGTATTTAAACGAGCACATAAGAATCTCCTGGGCTGGGAGGTTTTCAAATCCTGCTTCCTGAGGGCGTGTTCCCATGGCCTCTTATCAGGCTAACCTCTTATCAGGCTCGCATCAAACTGCACTGAAACACTCCAAGTGAAAACCATTATACTATGCAAGTCTGACAAAAGGATTGCCTGATAAGAGGCATAGGAACACGCCCTGAGTCGATATGGTACATCCACTGGATCACTGAGCATTACCACTATCATCAGTGTTTTACAAGCAACACATACACATTCCATAAGTACATCCATTAAGCAACAAGCAGCAGCACTCAAGGATCCCCACATGGAAGCACATGCCTGAGATGAGCCATGCGATGCGACCCAGGGATAACGCTGCCACCCGCAGGACTTGCAGTTCCAGAAACAAATCCGAAGGACCATAAAAAACACATGGAAAGAAATTACGGTAGGCAGGATTGAAACGAGAATGATAACAGTACAGGCACGTGTTAGGCAGGTTGAGAGGGGTGCAGATAGTGCACAGCTACAGGAGAAGCAATAGCAATAGTCACGTGAGCATAGCAGGAAATGACGTGTAGTGCAAATTAGTGGTGGTGCGGGTGCAGCTGGTGGTCAGAAGGTTATGGTACCGTAGGCTGTCAGTGGAAGCGATAGGAGCAAACATGAAATTGCACCGCGAGGTGAATCGTGAGTTATCTCAAAAAAACCATCTCTCACAGGGTTAAAATGGGCCGGCTGTCAGTGTGAGTGATTGAGAGGAGTGGACATGGGATCGTGATTCGAGTTACAAGGCGAGGTGCCTTTCTTCCAGTAGAGCAGCGCAGACTTGTAGCGGAGTGGAAGGGGAACGAAAACCGAGATGCTTGCTGCGATGCCTCGGAAAGAGAGGCAACGCGACTTTTGGAATCCTTCATACGGCAACCAGCAGTGCAGTGCTTGGCGGGCTGGTTGGCTCGTGGGCTGGTCCAGGCTAGGAGACCGCACATTACTGCTTGGTGGTCTGGCTCTTTCTAATCCCTCGCATCTTCCCTCCACTCACACCACCACCACCACCACCCTCACCCTCCAAAGACCTCGAAGCAACCACCTTTGTTGCACCTCCCCCTCCTCTTCCCTCCCCTCCTCCTGCTGCAGCTGCTGGCCCCAGCACAGACCTGCCCTTCTCCTCCCCTGGCTGCATCTTCTTCACCTTCTTTGTTGGCTCTCGCACCTTCCCACCCTTCTCCCCTGAACCCCCATCCATCCCCCCTCCCCCTCCCCCTCCCCCCAGTTCTCCCCCTGGGGGAATTGTTACACCCCCAGGGGGAATGGCTCCACCTTTACCCTTGATGGCTGCCTCCAAACTCGCAGGGGAGAGCATGGAGGGGTGCACGGCAGGGGGAGGCGCGCGGGGACTGTCTGCAGAATTGAACGGAATCTGGAGCGCAGGCAGGGTCGGGAACGGCTTGCGGAACGGACTCCCTGCTCCTGCTCCTCTTCCTGCTCCTGCTCCTGCTGCTACTCCTGCTGCTGCTCCTGCTCCTGCTGCTGCTGCGGGATTGCCTGGAATACCGGGAGAAGCCATGCTGCTGCTGTTGCTGCTGCAGCTGAGGGGAGGAGCACGAGCAGGGGAGGCAACAGAGGAGGCAGCAGAGGTTGGTCTAGAAGCAGAGGAGCTGTTCCCCCCCGCAGCACCACCAGCAGACGGGTACAGATCCCCAAACGCCTCAGCAGGAGCGCCCTCGGACTCTCCTCGGGATGATGCAGACACAGGGCTAGGCCCTGCACCTGCTGCTGCTGCTGCTGCTGCTGCTGCTGCTGCTGCTGCTGCTGCTGCTGCTGCTGCCACTGCCGCTGCTGCTATGCCGGAAGGTGCAGAGGGGTTGGCAGCGGTGTGGGCGTGAGTGCGAGTGGTTGAGCCGGAGACGGAGCGGCGGAGAGGCAGGGCGGCGGTGGGAGGGAGGGGGGCGGGCTGGGAAGGCATGCCAGTGTGAACTCGACGCAGCGGTGCCAACCCGCCTCCCTGCTGCTGCTGCTGCTGCTGCTGCTGCTGCTGGGATTGAGAAAGCCGGTGCTGCCGCTGCGGCTTCTGCCCTTGCTGCTGCAGCTGCTGTTGTTGCTGAGAGGCGATTCCCTGAGGGTTCACGCCATCCCACTGAAGCTCGGGAGGCACTGTGGGACTGCAGAAGTCAGGGGTGGGGGACTGGGGGTAGTTCATGCCTCCTCCCATGCCTGCCCCGGCAGCATAGGCAGCAGGATTGGGCGGTTGCGGCATCTGGTTCGGCATCTGGTTCGGCATCTGGTTCGGCTGGTTCGGGAGGTTGGGGTAGAGTTCTCGCTCAGGGACGCTGCGGGTGCGAAAGAAGGGAGGGAGGACCAGGGTGGGAGGTCCCTCCTGATCCTGCTCCTGCTGTGGTAGCTTCATGGGACCCCCCTGCTGCTGCTGCGCCTGCTGCTGGTACTGCTGCTGCTGGTACAACTGCTGCTGCTGCATTTGCTGAGGGTGGTGACTATAGGGATGGGGCGCGTTCGGGCGAGGGGCATTACAAGGCACCATTCCCCCCATCCCCATGCCTCCTGGTCCGCCCATACCACCCCCCGTTCCTCCGCCCACACCTCCCCCCCTCCCACCGCCCATACCCGGCCCCATCCCCCCTCCCATCATCTCCCCAGTCGGTCTGTTCATGGATGTTCGATCCCCACTCACGCTCCTGCGCATAGGGGGAACCGCAGCCCCCCCAACAAGCCCCCCCCCAGGCCCCCCACCCCCCATAGCTCCCCCCATCCCCCCAGGCATTCCCCCTGGCGCTCCTCCCGCCCCCTGCCCCATACCCCCAGCCATCCTTGTCGTCCCCTTGGCCCCCCGC